CACACACACACACCGCTCCATCTCTTATCAGTGAAAATTTTGCCACTGAGTACTATTTCCATGTATGAAAACAGACATTCTGATGCATCCAACCTGGGCAAGTGCTCGGGCCTGGTGCACTGGGAAGACCCAGAGGAATCGGGTAGAGAGGGAGGTGGGAGGGGGGATCGGGATGGGGAATACATGTAACTCCATGGCTGATTCATGTCAATGTATGACAAAACCCACTACAATATTGTAAAGTAATTAGCCTCCAACTAATAAAAATAAATGGGAAAAAAAAAGGAAATTAAAAAAAAAAAAAACAGACATTCTGACAGCAAAGAATTTATCTGATTCGGGTCTCTGTTGGGTGGCTAGGTCAAGATTCTGCCTACGGTTTGACAACACACAGTAAGATAACATTTTACACAAACCCAAGTGCTACACACACAACAAACAGTGGCCTTCTTGGCACACAATTCACAGTCCTATGACACTCAGCTCAGGGAAAGCAGGACTTGCTTTAAGCTATAGCTCATACTTTAGCAAGAAACAGCATTTGCACCAAAGCTTCATAAAGTTTGTTTAGCTCACTTCAAATATTTTATGTTAAATATATCCTCCAAACCAAGTTTAATTCTTTTCAGTTTGAAAAAGAGAGTGTCCCATGTTAGTAAAAGACAGTAATCCTTTTCACACTTTCTTCAGGTCTGATTTTAAGAGGACTGTCTTTTTATAGAATCATCATTGGTCTTTCAGACTTTGAAGACTACTGTACTATAAGGAGTATAACAATTTTGTACCTCAATCATTTTACCTGGGTAACTATAAATTACTATTAGCACTGACTTTAAGGAGAAGCCTATAAAAATGTTCTACATGTTTGAGTTTTCTCTTCACTGTTCCTTTCAGAGGTCTGAGAGAGCCTCAAACACTACCAAGGCAGATTAAGCCAGTCAATAAGGCAGGAATTCTATAGGATTTTATAAACAGATGATGCAATGTCACTGTTGGAAATAATGCAATACTCATTTAACTACTGCAGATAACCAAAATAAGTTTTAGATTGGATGCTATGTAATCAGTCCATTTTATTTATGCATGTGTGTGTATATATGTGTGTGTGTGTATGTGTGAGTCGCTCAGTTGTGTCCGACTCCTTGCAACACCATCGACTGCAGCCCACCAGGCTCCTCCGCCCATGGGATTCTCCAGGCAAGAATACTGGAGTGGACTGCCATTCTACATACATAATATGGGTTTCCCCGGTGACTCAGATGGTAAAGAATCTGCCTGCCATGAAGGAGACCCAGGTTCAATCCTTGGGTTGGGAAGATCCTCTGGAGAAGGGAATGGTTAACTCCAATACTCTTGCCTGGAGAATTCCATGGACAGAGGAGACTGATGGGCTACAGTCCATGGGGTCACAGGGTCGGACATCACTCAAGTGACTAACACTTATATTTATCTTGCCTCCTTTCAAAAGAGGATTGGAAATAGCTTACATGCATCCATACTAAACAATCCAAAACATTCAAAGGTAAAAGACATATAAGATGAAGTCAGGAGAAAGTGTATTACTCAAAAGCCACATGCTATTGGAGATGAGATACAAATTTATTTCTAGCTTCCTAGCAACTAAAACAAAGATGGTGACTTGAATCAATTGAGACATAATGATACCTTTAAAATTTTTTTCTAGAGGTAGGCAATGAAAACACTGAAACACATTCAATTAAATCCAAAGGCTTCTGCAGTGTCATTTTTTACATCAGCAAAGGTCAGCCTCACTTTATGCTCCTACTCCATCTCATCAATGTGTTAAGGGACACATGTATACTGCTGCTGCTAAGTCACTTCAGTCGTGTCCGATTCCGTGTGATCCCATAGATGGCAACCCATCAGGCTCCCTGGCCCCTGGGATTCTCCATGCAAGAACACTGGAGTGGGTTGCCATTTCCTTCTCCAATGTGTGAAGTGAAAAGTGAAAGTGAAGTTGCTCAGTCGTGTCCGACTCTTAGCGACCCCATGGACCGCAGCCTACCAGGCTCCTCCATCCATGGGATTTTCCAGGCAAGAGTACTGGAGTGGGGTGCCATTGCCTTCTCCAGGGACACATGTATACCTGTGGCCAATTCATGTTGATGTATGACAAAAACATCATATTGCAATTATCCTCTAATTAAAATTAATTAATTAATTACAAGAGTCAATTTACTGTTATTAGTACCACAGGTGTTTGTTTCTGGATTAACCCATGCTGTTACTTCTGTTTAGAGTATCAGCGGTTCTCAACCAGGAGTGATGTTGCCCCCCAGGGGACATTTGGAAATTTCTGGAGATATTGTTGGGTTGCTAGAAGACATTTAGTTGGTAGAGGCCAGAGACACTGCTAAATATCACACAATGCACTGGACAGCCCCTACCACAAAGAATTATCTGGCCAAACAATCAATAACACTGAGGTTGGAAACTCTGTAGTAACTAGCAGGGTATATATGTGCATGTGTGATCTTATTTGAATGAGACAGAAATCAGTCATTTTTCTGGTTCTAGAAAATACTAGCCTTAGTTTGTACTAAAAACTTCATTTGCCTGTTCAGAAACTCATACACCAGAAGAGTTTTCATAATTGACATAGGAGGAAAAAAACGAGCTCTAAGATTTATTCTGGATCTTGGATAAAATGACAAAGGAATTTCAAAATAGGAGGTCTTTAGACTGCAGCTAAAGGACATCGGAATAAGTCTACCTGAATGTGCAATGAAAATCTAGGCATTGCTTAAAAAAATTGGAAGTCATCCCATCTCATAACTCAATCTGAACAAATAAACCTCTCCAAGTAGAATGTGTTTTACAGCATTGATGGAAGAACTGCTGGAGAGCAAGAAAGAGTAAACAGATGGAAAGAACACCAAAGGAAATTGAGACATCGCCATCTGATGATATCACCTCGATCTGGACCAAGAACCACAGGCTTGGACTTGTCCCATATTGACCTGCTGGACACAGGTGCACAGTCAGTCATCTCCTTGGCATCCCTGCAGCTGGGTGACTCCTCCATTGCCAATTTGCCTCTCTCAGTGACAGAAGTCACGGACTTATTCACACGTACAACATTTATACTTACAATACAACGTACAACACGTGTCCAATCAATATTTAATATGACCAGCTAAAAACCTGGTTTGGTTTTTGTCACACTCATCCTTCTATTCTTCTTTTCTTTTTGTTTTCTAACAAGTCACCAGTATGCTATTAGGTGGGCTCAGAAGTTCCCTTGGATTTTTTCTGTAAGATGTTATGGAAAAGTTCGAAGGAACTTTTTGGTGAACCCAATATATTTGGAAAGACTAGCCCATAGTGAATAAACTAATAATGAAATGTAGCTTTCCTCTCAACGATCTCAACAATCATCCTTGTAACATAAAGTCTGGTAATTCAAGATTTAGGCTATTTCTGTACAAGACTGGCTATACATTTTCTTATTAAGCTGATAAGCAGTATTCCTGCCTGACAGCATGAGACAGGCAGATGTAACCTATCTGTTCATTGGCGGTCAGTCTATACTTTAACTAGGAGATACTTTCTAGGGAAATGTAAACATCTTCATTGACATGGATACAGAGGAAAACTTCATCAATTTAGGCTTGACTCTGCACATCTAAAAAAGAATTAAGCTGGAAGTGGCCTCCAAACCATCCATAAACAAAATTTCCTCAGAGAGTCTCTGGGAAGATGATTAAATGTAATAGTTTATACACATGTTTTAAAATCAACTGGTGTGTTAATCGTAGCTAATTCTTCTTCCTGCATAATTCCCAGGCTCTACTAATATACTTAGTTGGCCTCCTTTGACTTAATTTGTGTACTTCCTTATCTTTACAGAAAAATTCTTTCATTAAGTTTAAAACTTAATTTTCCTTAATTCAGCCAACACTTTTATCCAGTGCACATAATTGTTTAATATCTCTCAGTCTCAAAAAATAGTGATATATATATGTGTATATTATATATGTATGTATGAACAGCAATGTATGTATATACGGTAATATATATAATGAACCTATGTATCTATTGTCTAAAAAGAAGAGCCAGGATAACTCTTAGTAATATAAACTCTGATTTCAGACAAGTGAAATAAACAAACATGTTTCCATGTGCAAGCTGCTTTAAACTATCATCAAAGCCCACTTCTCTAAGCCTGAATGGCTCACAGAATACATTCCAATAGATTCCATGGCTGGGTTAATCCTGCTTATCATACTAATTTGACAGTGACATTATGAATACTCCTCCTTCAGTGAAACATTTCAGAAAGCTATCTAGAAACCATATGAATGTGAGGGGACTGAAACAGTGGTTTGCTAACAGATCTGGGCACACTTACATGTGGGGATAACATGAAATCTGTTGCTATGCTGTCTAAGTGGTGGGTAGTACAGTCCCAGATGGCTTTCAAAATGGCCATGTTAGAGAGAACCTTCAAGAACTCAGTTAAAAATAACAGGATGGCTACACCGTTGCCAACCAAATGACCTCTTGTTTTCTCTTTACCAAGAACAACACGGGATGTGCCCAAATGAAACAGTGATGAAGCGGTGGTGAGGGTGAGGGAGGAAGATCGGCAACTGTTTGGCTTCATCATGAAGGAAGGAGAATCTCTCCTAGATTATATATGTTTGGCTTTACAGGATATCATTATCTTTTAGTCGCTATGGCTGCAAATGCTATTAGCAGTTAAAAGGCACATCAAGCTATCTGGCCCTTCCTAAAACCTCATCAGACCATTTGTCTCCTAAATTTCTCATAGCAACAAATCCCAGCAGAAACATCCACATTTGTCTTAATTGTGCTTCTGTGCAAGGACTACCATCGACTTTAATTGTCTGTAGCAAGGTAAGATGATCCCATTCTATTCCTACAGAAATAAGAGGCTGAAAACTTACACCACCATTTTTCTTATTGTACTATAAAATGCAAAATAAATATTAATACTATATTTTCAATAAACTTACTTTCAGTGCAAATAGGACAGCATCCTTTCCTGTTGAGAATTTTACCCTAATCAAGAAAAAAAAAAAGGAGTTCAGTGTTAATAAACAGGGTCTGCTGAGGACAAAACCCTTTTTTAAATCTCATACCAGATAAATCAATGAAATCTGTCCAAGCTGTATTTGAACTCGATGCCCAGATGGTGATGATGGTGGTGAAAATGAAGTTTTAAGTATCAGGTTCTACAGCCAGGCAAAGTCATTCTAAACGCTTTCCTGTTTTTATCCTCAGAGAAATATAATCCCTAAAGGTTTCATTGGTGTGATTTTTCTCACATGGAGGGAAGATGGAGACAGTCTGGATTCCACCTTTTCACTGATACTCAAATCTAGCCCTCTAGAGACCAAGTGCACACACGTAGAAATGGGAATTGGCCGTCAATCTATCAATCTATGCAAAGCTTTCATTCTGTCTCTGCTTATTGGAGGGAGCCAAAAATAAACAGTAACCCAAGCTTGGGCTTATGTATATGAACAATATCTGTGCCACAAATGAAATTCAACCTGATTCCTTCTTTCAGAGAGTGGTATGCTATCCCTGACTATTATGTAGTCAAAGCCAAATGTGGCTAAGGGTTTTGAAATGCTGAGTAATTTTCCATTACCTTTCTGGAAAAACAGCGTAATCTCCTCTACCACATTTCTTCTAATTTTTTTCTAATGATTGACATTTAAAGGAAGATGCATAATCTCAGGACCCTTATCAGAGTTGACATTGTTTTATCTCTGACTCAGTGGAATCGCAGGGGAGAAGAATTGTGGAAGAAAATGAACATTAAGGAAGCATATGCTATGAAACAGACATCCTATTAGATATTTTCCTTTGGTTACCTAACATCAGGCTAACTGTAAGGATTTAAAATAAGTTAATATTTATAACATATTATAATTTTTGTTATTAAGATGCACAAAAACTTAGTGAGCTGAGCATTTTCCTTCATATAGATGAAGACATTGATATCATATAACACAAGGGTAGTAGAACCCAAAATCAAACCTAATTTTGTGTGACCTTATAGGCCAACTTTTCACTCCAGATTTTTAAGATGAGAGAGGTTTCATCTGAATCTGCAAGAGAAGTTAACACTGGGTATCTATCTGCTATACAGTAGGAAAAAAATGCTGTACCTTCTTCTTTCCTTATCCATTTATGCTTCACAACAACCCTGTATGTACACATGCCCCTTTCCCCTCTTTACAGGAAACTAAGGAAGCATCACAGAGTGGTGGCCCAAGACTGTGTCAAGCCCTGTTTCACTACCTGTTGATTGCATCAAGAGTAGATTTAGGTACTTCAAAACAAATCACACTAACAACAACAAAAAAAAAAGGTGGCAGTTGATAATTAAAGAATTCGAACCATGTCTGATGCTTTAAAAAGGTACATTAAAGGCTATGACAGGTTTGAATGAGACTCAAAACTCCGTGCCAGGCCGCCCTCCATGATTTGGGGCAACACGACAATTTCATGGCCAAGAGCTCTGTTGTCTGTTTCTATTTGGCCCAGAGGACTCTTTTGGCTTTTTGTGCCTAAAAGCAGTTGAGGACCAATGCAAAGGAGACTAGCTCTGGCTGATGGAATGATGGCATACAATGCTCTGTCTGAGCCCAACAGAGCTGTTTAAACCAAGGCCCCAACAAAAGGTGACTCTGTGATTCCCTGCATCTGTACCTCGACAAAAACAGCCACTTCTTTTCTTCAGAAAGTGAGAGAAGGGCTGGAAACATCACTAAATTAGGCGGGGAATAAATCAAGAGAAAGCTATGATGTCTGTGCTCCTGAGTTATGTGGAACTCGCTGAGGAACTCTGGACACCCCATGAAAGCGTCAGTAAGAAGGACCTAGTAATAGCACCCACCCTGGGTGGAGAAGGAAAAGGCAACCCACTCCAGTCCTCTTGCCTGGCAAATCCCATGGATGGAGGAGCCTGGTGGCCTACAGTCCACAGGGCCGCAAAGAGTCAGACACAACTGAGTGATTTCACTTCACTTGGGTGGGGGGGTGTCTCAGTATCAGATGAAGTTGGTCCTGTGACTACAAAGGAAGTCTCAGGACATATTATCAGTGATGGGATGACTGTCATAATGAACCTGTCCCCAGTGGAACCCTTGGTCCTCTTCACCAAATGCACTCTTTTGCCCCTGGGGGACCGTCAGGAAGGGAACACAACCACACAATCCTTCTTCACCAAGGCAAGCAAACTTCTGGAAAAAGATGTATAGTAGCCAGGAAGGATAGAGCAGGAATACGTCTGCTTCTTAAAAAAAAAAATTTTTTTTTAATTAATTTCCCCAAGCAATGCAGGGGAGGGGAAGTAAGTGTATAATAGGACTTCTATGGTAGAACTAAATTATCTTCCAAAGTGCTTGCGCTGGCCCCTGAGAAAGCAAAGTATGAACCGAAGGAATGATTGGGAAACTGCCTAGAAACAAAAAGGTGGGCCCTGAGGCAGGAGCCAGACATGGCCTGATGGGCTCAGACAAGAAGACTCGGGTTGAGTGGGGGGTGGCGGGGCGGGGGGAAACACCAGGCCTGCGCCTGGAGAGATGGATGCTCCTGGCCCAAAAATGGTCCACAAAGAAGAGACATGAACTAAGATGCTGGTAACAAAAAGAGCCCTGACCTCCCCACGGCAAGAGATCTATGCAGGCCACCACACCTGCCGCCAAGTGTCAGGACTCAAGTGAAGCTGGGAACTCCACCAGGGCCTGCAGAGGCTGGTTACTCAAGCCACCAGGCTGGCTCAGCCTTGTGTTTCTGTCTTGTAGGATAAGGAAGCCCATTATTCCTAACATGTGCCACAGGAGTTCATTAGCAGTGAGGGTTCCCCGAGGACGGGCAAAAATGATGTGATACCATTTTTCCCAATGAATATTTATAAGAAGACCATGCTCAACTCTCCTTATTGTATCTCCTGGTGTGTGTGTGTGTTTTTTTTTTTTTTTCCTTTTATGGGAGGTTTTCAGTTTTATGTCTGAGGCTTTTTAAAGCAAGACTAATTAGGGTTTCTTTTTTTCTTTCTTTTTTTCTCCCCCTTTATTCAGTTGTGCAATAGCAACAGCTGTTGTTTTTTTGTGCCTCATTTGGCACTCATGTAAAAACAGCAACTTTTTGTTTATAATAATAACAGATGTGAATAAAATTAAACGCTTTCTCTGACAGAGAAGGGAAGACATGTCCTGAATATATGGATGTATTTTTTCATTCACTGGAAGGTATTGAATAGGCTTGACATTTTCCCAAAATGCATAAAACCTTGAAAGGTTTCAAGTTGCTGAGGTGAATTCAATGAAGCTCATGCTTTGGAAGATAATGGATGCTTTATTCAGGGCGCTGGAACTATGGGTTTCTGAAAAGAGGTATTTCCATAAAGACGCCATTTCCATTCAGGACTACAACAGAGCCCGGGTTGGAGAAGGAAACTTCAGAAAAAGGGTTGGAGGGTGCCACTGGGCAGGTGAAACTCCTTAGGGAGTTTATTAATAAACAACCACATATTCCTTTGAATGGCTACGGGAAGAAAACTGATTTGAAAAGAGAGAGAGAGAGGTAAAATGAAAGGATAGTTATGATCTTCAAAAGAAAACCCAGCAAAAGACAGGAGGGAGCTGATCAAACAGAAGTTGGAGACATTAAAACAAAAAACTGGGAGAGATTAGTGAAAAAGAGAGTGAGGTAAGAGCTATTACCCTGCTAGGCTAAAATCTGGGTGAGAACCATAAAGAACAAGGAGTGAGCTTTGCAAAGGACATGTATCTATTTGGGAACTTGGAAGTTTTGGAGGATCTGAATTCTGTGTTCAGAAGATGGGAGGTGACCATGCCACATGCAGGATGGTTCTCAAGATACTTGGGTAAAGAGAAAGTCAACCTACAGACGAACCTGAGGGCAGCTGCTGATGGGAACACACTGCTTCTTGCGACACTCTGTCTTGCCTTTCACACAAGCACAGATGGTGCAGTTGACAGACGACCACATCTCTCCATCCTGCAATAGAGACCACAGAATTCTTCCATAAGCTGGACGCTGATGGGAGCTAATCCAGCAGGTTAGGATTTGTCTGTCAAGGAAAGCATTTCTTTCCCCATCAGTAGATTGAATTACTCTGAGGTGTGTTTATCTACATCTAACTGATCTGATAGAAACACTAGATCTTAGGGGGTGTGTGTGTGTGTGTGTGTGTGTGTGTGCGCATGCGCGTGCACATTTCCCCTCCAGGGTGTAAAAAAAAAAAATGCTTGCACATCAAACCAAGTCACATTTGCATCTTGCTCCTCTTGCATTGTTTACTTAGCTTCACCCGGGGAGACAAACAAGACTTTTCCTACGTGATGCAACAACAAGGGTCTAATTTTTCCATTTGATAGGACTGAAAAGTTTGAGTTCTCCCAGATGCCACTAGTTAATTGAGATGTCCGGAGGTGGTTAGTTTATTCCCAGATGTGACATGGTTCTGGCCCACATGGGGCACGAACATGCAAAGAATGGAGACTAGTCCATATGACTCCCATTGCCAGGCAGACACCTGACCAGCAAACCATCTGAAAATGTGGAGCACAGACAGAAAACTCCAAGAGTTATTCATCCCATGTCCCTGCCTGTCTGATACTCTCCTCCTAAAAGGCTGGGTAGTACTTGGAACACATTTTCTAGCCCAGAAAAGGCTGTTTGAGGCATCTCTTTGGCTTATTGGCTTTATAATCTGCAATTGCCAAGTGCCCAGCCACAAAAATCCTGTACTTCTGGGAACATGCAAGAACGTGTATTCTTGCTTGTGAGAAAAAAGATCATGGGCAATAGATTTAGGCCTGAAAACAGAGCAAGGATTCCTTTCTGGGCTTTTGGATCTGAGCAGCAAATTTTATTAAAAACAGAAAAACCAGCCCAGATGTTTGATGTCACCTATGCCTTGTACTCTTCCTTCTCATTTTTGGAAGGTATTTTAAGGACTACCTAAGTCTCTGGTGCCTTTTATTTCTCTGACTGAATCTGTTTTAAAGGGCATCTGATTATTGCAAATTCTCTGAGTGCGCATTTCTAAGACTCCATAAATTATTTTAGGCCCCGTCCATGTATATGAAGGAAGCTTTTTGTGAGGAGCCTGGAAAGCACTTTGCACAGAAGTGTCATCGGGGTGAGCCTACCGCATCTGGATGCTCCAGAGACAGAGGATGACGTGTAAAAAGGACACATGAGTAGCTCTGGAAGCCTGGTGGAACCACAACACACACAGACATACACACATACACACACGTGACGCCATTCCCTTAGGCATGACACATCTAGTCTTTTTACAGATGTTGTAAGAATCAAGACGCTCCCTTCAGCTCTGTAATAGGAAGTCTAGCCAAGTGCAGAGGGCCTGAGGGGCCTCCATCTCTGACTTGATTCTGAGGGTCTCAATTCTCAAGGGTACCCTGAGATGACACCTTCAGGTACAGAGAAACTCCCTCCACCCATGGGGAAAAGAAACTAGATGGGCAGCACTTTGGACAAAGTCAGCGATCTTAATCCTAACGTTTAAATGGTCACTGGCCAACTTCCCACCCACGCCACTAGGAAACCATGCAAAACACACCTGAGATAGGCAGCGGACGACCCTACTAGCTCAGGTGGGGCAGGACTCTCATCTTTGTTCAACTACTCTGCTGGCCACAACCTCACCCAAACATCTTCCCAATGAGAAAATCTCTCTCTGAGAAAGGAGCTTAGTGGAAAAGTTCTAAGAGAACCAGGATCTTGGCAAGAAGCACCGCACATGTCTGACTGCTGTCCCCAGGCGTTTGGCTACCCATAGCTGCCCATCAGGGGACTCCTCAGCGCAGCCCCAACCACGGGCCACCACATTTAGAAAAGGCGATGTTTTACAGGTTTAATGTATGTTATAAACCAAAAGTAATGCCAAGGAAAACACATTTCAAAACAATTGCTTCTCTACCCCAACTGTCCTTGACTCTAAACATATATGTACATATATTATAATATAAATAAGAACATTTACACATACATACATGTATACACAAAATATGAAACATTGCAATCTGCACTTTGCTAGGAGCTTTCTACAACTCAGTATCATATAGTAGTTCCCATGAGCTAGGCTCATGACATACCCAGAAAATCTTGTTGCCAAACTTGCACACTTTGACGTCTTCCTGGGGCACTCGTAGGAGACAGTCATCACAACAGGCCTCCTCGCCTCTGTCGCACCCACCAGGGTGGGAGCACTTCTTCTTACACACAACAGTGGAGTCCTGAGGGCCCAAAAGCAAACTGGAAGTTAAAAACAATTTCCACCTCCACCAGACATCCTACCTGGTCTTCCTTTGTGTGTGTTAGTCACTCAGTCACGCTCAACTCTGCGACCCCACAGACTGTAGCCCACCAGGCTTCTCTGTCCATGGAATTCTCCCGGCAAGAATACTGGAGTGGATTGCCATTCCCTTCTCCAGAGGAACTTCCCAACTCAGGGATGGAACCCTGGCCTCCTGCATCGCAGACAGTTTCTTTACTGTTTGAGCTACAGGGAAGTCCTGGTCTTCCTTTAACAACCCACAATTAACTTCTTTAAAATATATGCTGAAGATGTGTGTAAAAGTCGCTCAGTCACATCCAACTCTTTGTGACCCCATGGACTATACTGTCCATGGAATTCTCCAGGCCAGAATACTGGAGTGGGTAGCCTTTCCCTTATACAGGGAATCTTCCCAACCCAGGGATCGAAGATACCATATTCTAATTCACTGCAATAAACCTTTCATTCACCTCAAAATTTTGTTTGCTGACTAAGTATCTGGACTAGAAGAAGAGGAAGCTATGAACAGTGTGACATATGCCCCCCACTTTCCAAGGGCTTATCAGTTAACGCTCAGGAGACTGATGGGATATCCTGCTCCAGCCACTGGGTAAGAAGGCCCAGTGCACTATGGACCAACCAGTTTCCTTCTTTTTTCCCCCCCTTCTCATCTTTTGCAACCCTCCTTAACAGTGTCCCCTCAGGTCTCCCCTGACAGTAAACTGACAGTAAACTCAGGACATCTTTGATCAAAGAGTAAAAATTTAGAGCTCATGCTCCCTGTGAAGATGAAATTACTTAGTGTGTTCCGTGTTCACAAAGGAACCAACGAGCAATTCTAAAGCTAGGTCTGGGTTCTACAGGTCTTCCATCAACTGTGTGACCTTAATCAAGGGCACTTAAACTCTAAGGGTGACAAGTCTATATCTATAACATTAAGGAGTGTGGCTTGATTTCAAAAGAAGTGGCATTCCATGGACAAAATAGCCAAGTGAGCTGTACTTACTGACTCATTCAACAATGCATGGGAAAAAAGTTCAGAGGAGCCTAAGAAAAGTAAATTTTTCCAGTTTCCCAGCCAACAAGCTGAAATTTCACCTGGAGTAGAATGTCAGGTGGAATGACTATAAGAGCAAAATATTTATGAAACTTAGCAGAAGACAGGATGGAGGAAAGAAGTGTCCCAGGGTAGATTGGCAATGACCTCAAAGTGCTGAGTTAGTGTGAACCAAGAGCAGGGAAATGAGACCAAAGCCCTCTCCAAGACATAGACCCAATCAGTAAGCTTGGAAAGAGGACTCACTCTGGAGCCTTGCATACAAATAGGTTGTGTAAATCGACGGACGTAACTTCTGCAGCTTCTACATCAATTCTATGACTTCAAAAGGCACTTCTGGTACCATCTACTATATTCTCACTAACTTATCCTCTTAATATGACAATGAGATGATCCTTCAATAAAAGGCATTTGTTATTCAAATCAAATCACACAGTGGATAAGACGTAGAATTGAATAAGACTAGGGTAGAATGCCAGTTCATTTATTAAGTGTGTTGTCTTGTACAAATCCATCCCCCTGTGCCCCGGATTCCTCATCTTCAAAATGGAGATGATAACACCTCTCAAGTTTATTGTGCAGTTTAATGGAATATGCAAAGTACTTGGCACAGTGCCTGGCACATGGAAATAAGTCAACTCATAAGTTGGAAAAAATCCTTTGTCAAACTGCATGTTTTGATTTCAAGTTTGAAAAACAAGGGCACTCACCAGCTCTAGAATAGTGCATACTTCATAAGAGATTTCCCAACTTTCATTAAATATATACCCGCAACCAACCATCCCCCACCACACACAAACACACACACACACACAGTACCATTAGATCATTGCTTAGAACTGGATTAAGCAGTTAGAATACAGAGATGAATGGATATGCACCTGTCCTCAAGGAACTCACAAAGAGAAGAGATAACCATCTAAACAAAGACTATATAATAATGTGGTAAAAAGAACTAGTAAAGGTGTAGGGCTAGCAGAGAAGATGTAACAATTACCTATCTAGGTGGGTCGGGAAAACCTCACTAGAAGAGGTGACACCTGGGAAAGGCTGCTGTGAATGAAGAGGGGTTTGCTAATCAAACTCCAGAAAGATGAGGACACTGCAGGCAGACGGAAACCTGAAACTGAATTGTGTTCAGAGACCTATGTCCTGCGCCTGCCATGGCACTCACTCTATGGGGATACTGGAGAGGGAAACTCTAAGCAGGTACAAAACAACCCTGATCACCCCAACTGATTGCAGCCTGATTCTTCAAGTATTCCATTTCCCCAAAATGACCGTGAACTCGTACTCTGATAAAAAACATCTTGAAGGAACAGTTTCAGTTATGCTTCTTTTGAGTATTGGGACATATTGGCTAATCATCTCTCGAAGAATCTCTCAAAGAATGAGACCCAAAACGCTACAAGCATAACTAATTTCTATTCCCGGGATGCCTGGCTTTTCTGCAATCAAGAGAATCGGGAATGTGATGTGTTTCATCAAAGGCTCAGTATCCCCAGGAGGAAGCTATAACCTGTGAAATTCCAGGAGAGAAAGAGACAGAGGATGGAGGCCAAGGCCAACAGAAGGAGTGGCTATATGTTTACCACAGGATTCTGTGAACCACGAAAGAGAGGAAAGGCCTCAGTAAAGTAATCCCAGCCTTTGGAATTACTTGCTTTTCAGTGCTAGGGAACAGACAGTTCAGCCCTTACTCAGTCACTTCCTTGAAGGAGTGCATGCTCATTAACAAAGCATGCCTTGAGTAATCAGGAACTTCTGAACTCTAATCCCAGCTACTGACTGACAGTGAAAAAATTTCCTCTTTCCCTCTCCAGACCTCTGGTTATTAAAAACAAACAACAACTATCACCCCCAAAATATATTATTCTAAACTCATGTCACACAGATGTTTCAGTTAACTTGCTAATGAATGGTCCTAAAATCCTCCGTGTAAATGATTCTCTTCTCAGTTTCAGAGCTCAATCACCATATAAACATAGCCTAGGAATGCGTGATGTGCATAATCCCTTTAAATTTCTGGAGCTGAGGAATTCTTTCTTTACCAGTCACTAGATGTGTGGTTGCCTTTTGGGAAAAGTGTGTAATGACTCAAGTAAGAAATGGTACGATGAACAACACACAAATACTCTCTTCCCAAACTACCAGGTTAATTTTTGTGATAAACTGTGAACCCATGCCTTTCTTTTCTCTTTATTGTTGTTGTTCAGTCGCTAAGTCATGTCTGACTCCCTCGTGAACTGCAGCACACCAGGCTTTCCTGTCCTTTACTGTCTCCTAGACTTTGGTCAAACTCATGTCCATTGAGTCGGTGATGCTATCCAACAATCTCATCCTCTGTTGCCCCCTTCTCCTCCTGCTCTCGATCTTTCCCAGCAATAGTCTTTTCTGATGAGTTGGCTTCTTTTCTCTTGCATGTGGTTAAAGCCATTTTTATTGCCAGGTGTGCCCAAGAATTCATACTGAATAATTAGAGCCAGAGAATACTGCCACCTGTACTTGTCTGATTTTTATAAGTGCTTCAGCCCCTCAGAGTTTAATTCTCATCCCCAGAGCTAACTTATTGGTCCTGGGAAGATGACAGTGATTTGTAATTTGGATCCTATGTCTAAACTTCCTTGTGAACATGCAGTATAATTTTACAGATAAAGCGGCATCAGTAATGCCTTGTTCCCATAAATAACACATTATTATGTTTGGTTATAGTGTTAACATTAAAATCAAAATGCTATCCATGTTGGATCACAGCCCTTCAGAACCATCTTACCTTGCAGGTACATGCAGTGCAGTTATCATAGAGAAAAGAAGATCCATTGTCATAAACATCACTGCGAAAAAGGCAGCTTCCAAATGGGAGGTCAAACACTTTCCTTTGACCTAGAAAGACGCAATGGCATAGTGTTAGCAAGACAGAAGTCAGGGATGTCCCACTTCATCATCAGCAATTATAGCACAGAACTGTTAAACATTCCCACTAGACCAGATAAATCTAGTGCACAAATACAGAGCCATGGGTCACATGTTTCTAGGGGATTCCAAGGAATCATGACTTCAAAGAGTTTTTGCTAAAGAGAGTTTGATTCCATACTGAATCTTGTAAGTTTAACAAATCTTTATTATGAGTTCATCCTAGTGAACCAGGATGACTAAGACATCCTGGCCCAATGGAGCTTAGTCTATTGGGGAAACAAATACACAAAAGATGATTTCAATACAATAAGGCAGTCAGTTCTGGAAAGAAGCCAATCTAGGAACTGTGTGGACAGGGAAGACAGAGCAGACTTTTTGGAAGATGCGCTGCCTGAGCTGTATCTTAAAGAATGAGTAAAATTATCCAGAAAGTGGGTGTTGGCAGGGAAGAGGCAGGAGAAGTCAAGATATCCAAAGAAGACTAGGATGAGCAAAAAAAAAAACTAATGAGATAGTATCTCAGTTGAAGAAATGACAAGTCCATTGGCAATCAAGGGTGATGCTAACTCAAAGATCACATAGAGGAAGAATCCAATTCCACACACCCAGTGTTCAACCTCCCACAGTCATCACACCTCTTGCAGAATTACCTTGGTTTTCCCTGACGTAAGGATTTGATTGGTGACCCAAAAGGCAAAAAAAATCAACCCCAAATAGTGTAATCCAATTTCCTCCTTTCTTTCAGTATTTGAGTTTCTACTCCCTGGAGCACATAAAAATATCTCTGAAATGTTACTTCAATTAAAGACTAAGTTGAGAAGTCAAAGATTAATCATCACTCATAAGATTTATACCCCCACTCTTCCTGTAAAAAGATTAAAAGCAATCTCTATTTCACTGGAGACCAAATGAAATGCTGAAGTATCTATAAACACATATGAAATGCTATTCTCGGAATTAGAATTGTTGGAATTACTGTTAGTAGGTGTCAAGAAAAATGCCATCTTCCCATTAAGAGTCAACCTCAAAGCTGGGATACAGTATAGATGTAGAATTAAATCATTAGTTTAGTTCTCCCTACAAGAAGCAAACTTGCCTCAAAAGATGACTGTGATAATTTTAACTTGGGTCCCACATACAGACTCCCGGGTGACCTTGTGCTTGATTTCTCCAGGCCTGACTTAGTTCACTTGTCATAAAATGATATCAAAATGCCTCCTCCCAATAACACATTACCATCTCTAACTACAATGTCAGTGCTAAAGTATACCATCAGAAACTTTTTTATGTTTATATAAAATTTAACATAATGACTGTATGTGCACCTAACAATTAGCAATATCCCAACTGAAACAGGCATTCTTCTGTGTATACTCAGGTTCTGAGTCTTTTGAAGTTTGTAAAAATTACAGATTGAATCAGAGGATTACCTGAAAAATACAGAATTCATCCTTTCTCTAGGTCTTCCTCTAGGTAACTCCCAAGGGTTGTCTGAAGCATCAGAAATCTGTGTGCAGGCCACCCACCCCATCAGAATCACACCAGTCATATCACACCTTGATTTAGGACACTCTATAAAAGAGTGTCACCCCTGAGCAGAAAAACCCCTAAGCAGATATTTTTTTAAATTTGCTACAGAAATGATGGTGACATTATTTTTCACTGCTTTAAACACTGTCCTCTATATTATTCCATCAAAGACATATATCTGTCCTTTAAGAATTAAAAACAGGTCTGCTTCAATTGAGTATTTGTTTCAAATTGTGATAACATGGTTTGCCTTGTCCTGTCTTTTATTATATATATTATTATATATTATATTATTATAGTTAGACTGGTGGATTGATACATCAGTAGACTACTGAACAAAAAAGGCTTGAGTTTAACCTCCCTGCACAAATATGACCAATGGCAGATAAGTAGCATCATTATTAGAGGTGGTATAATTCAAATAGGCTTCCCAGGTGGCACAGTGGTAAAGAATCCACCTGCCAATTCAGGAGATGTGGGCTCAATTCCTAGGTCAGGAAGATCCCCTGGAGAAGGAAATGGCAACCCACTCCAGTATTCTTGCTTGGAGAATCCACATGAACAGAGGAGCCTGATGGGCTGCAGTCCATGGGGTCGCAGAGAATCAGACACAACTGAGCAACTGAGCACACAGCACATATAATTCAAATCTGATCTTGGGCCGTGTGACTCTAAGAGGTGCATCGGGTGCAAAAGGCAGGGGTATGTTGTATGAATGAATCCTGCTCAAGGGAAAACTGAACAGCAAATCAGTGTCTCAAAATCCAAAAGTCTATTTAGCCTAAAATTTCATCATCTACTAAGCATTGCTGTGTTTACCTTTTTTTTCCTCCTGTCTTCTGTTGTGTGGGTAGATTTCTTTCTACTGTCAAAGAACATACAATCTTACCTAAATCCCAAAGTCATCATGGCTCTAAATAAGATAAAACATTCAAAAGAATGGTTCAGAGACTTCATGTATAGCCTAATTTAAGCCATTTCCACTTTATTCCGCTGGGGCTTAGCCCAGCAGTAAAGGTCTCATTTGGGAGAATTAGAATTTTTATTTCCTAAGACTTACTGTTCCTTTTGTAGTCCAACTTATGACCACAAACAGACAGAAAAATCTGCATTCAATACAACAGCCATTGTTCATATGAGAATCTGATCTGACTCAGCATATCCACGATACCAGCTTCAGAGCTTTAATCAAGCCTGCTGCTGCTGCTGCTGCTAAATCGCTTCAGTTGTGTCCATCTGTGCGACCCCATAGACGGCAGCCCACCAGGCTCCTCCATCCCGGGATTCTCCAGGCAAGAATACTGGAGTTGGTTGTCATTTCCTTCTCCAATGCATGCACGCATGCTAAGTCGCTTCAGTCATGTCTGACTGTGCAAGCATATGGACAGAAGCCCACCAGGCTCCTCTGTCCACAGGATTCTCTAGGCAAGCCTACTTATCTTCAAGTTGAGGCCCCCAGGCCACACCTCCTCTGGGACGACTTTCTCACTTAGATGGGGCCCTGTTCCCACCATGACCCACAGCATGATGATTTCAACAACAGTGAACTGGCTACTTCTCTTCCAGGGGCACAAGCACACGTGGACAACCCAAGAAGCACACACATCAGTGGAAATGCCTTCAGTCAGTCATGTCTAAACAATTCTCCTTTGCTCTGATAATATCTATGAAATTACTTTAAAAGCAGGTGCATGTTTGTGTGTGTTTGTGTGTGTTTGCGTGTGTATACACAGAAGGAAGGCAAACATTATTAGATGAAGAGTTAGCAGCAGAATCCTTCAAAGAAGAGAAAGCTGCCTTCATTTAACAAGATACGTTTATTGGCCAATTCAATTGTAGAAAGGTAGACTTCAGGGTATGGCTATGATAAGCTGGGAATGATAAAAATAAATCAACAGGGGTTTCGATTGGAGGAAGCAAAGTATGAAAGAAAAGACAGAAGATTCAAGGAAAGAGTGTGGACAGTAAGGATTGGAGGCTGGACTCCACAGAAAAGAGACAAACAGTGATATTTTCCTAAAGGCAAAGTAGCTGAGACCTTTTACGAAGAAAGCGAGCTTAATATTTCAGTTTCTGTTATTCATTGTGCTTCCCTGAAAAGTAATCAGCCTCTCTTACTGTAAACCTTCAGCGAAATCCCCTGCACAAGCCTTGATTCAATAGCACCGCAGAATGTGAAAAGACAGGGTGGGGAGGTTTTCCTGAAAGGACAAAATGATGTTGAAGAAGCAGATGGAGGAGGGAAAGGAAGAGGAACAAAAATGGGAAGAGAAGGAGGAGGAGGTAGAAGAGGAAGAGGTAGGGAACAAAGAGAAAAAAGCAGCAGGAGCAAAAACACAAAGCCAGCAGTGACTTGAGAAAATAGAAGCCAAGGATCCCTGGAGATACTGGTGGGGATGCTGCATATTCTATTGTATTCATTAGATGGATCAAGCTACTCTTATCTGAATCTTAAACAGTCAAGCTCAACTCAATGACCTAAAGGCCACATGGAAGAAGCTGATATATAGATGACAAATAAAAACCAAAGGATTCCGTGCTCTAGAAACATCCAGGGCGTTCCTCTTCAGGTGGTAACACGTGTGCTACTCTCCATGTTACCAGGAAAGCTGAGCAGCAGCAGGTTAAATCGTGGGCTTGGGAATTATAGAGACTCATGTTCAGGAGCCAACTCCCTAGCTCACTAGCTGTGCTACCTTCTAGGAATTCTACTTCTTTCTCAGCACAAAACTACTAATGGTACCTATGTTATTAATACACATCAGAATTCTATACTTAGCACCTCTAGGTCACAGACTCTTGAGAAAATTAAATGAGAAAAAAGTTCCTGAAGTTTTCACATGGTACCTAGTACACAATAATTGTTCAAAAAGGAATAGCTAATCCTCTTTTTTATTGACTTTTTCATTATTCCCTTCCAAACCTCTTGTTTGAGGCATGTTATCCTCCTGCATGCTGTTGCCTCTAAAATAACACTCTATTCCTCCCTCTGTTTACTTCATATGCCTTTATTTATTTGTTTTTCTTGTTTGGTCATGCTTTGAGTCATGTGCGATCTCAGTTCCCTGACCAGGGATTGAACCCTCGCGCCCCTGCCCCCATCCCCCATCCAACCCCCACATTGGTAGTACAGAGTCTTAACCACTGGACTGCCAGGGAAATCCTCACATGCCTTTAAAATACATTCCTACTAAATGTCAGATGTCCAGTTAAAGACAGTTTCTCAATGTTGTTCTCCCCACAAAAATACATTGCTACTAATCATCATATTTCCAATTGAAGATGGTTCCCTCAGTACCATTCTCCCCACAAGAGGCTAGTATCCCAGGGTGTCTGGGATACCAGGTTTACAACTACAGGGGAAGATAAGAGAAAAGAAAGTTCTGGGGAGGCTCAGAAGTGAAATAAACCCTTGTACACACCTTGGTGGTGATTTATTCTCTCAGATGTGCCCAACTCTTGCGACCCCATGGTCTTGTAGCCCACCAGGCTCCTCTGTCCCTGGGATTCTCCAGGCAAGAATACTGGAGTAGGTTGCCATTTCCTCCTCCAGGGGATCTCCCCGACCCAGGTATCAAACCCTGGTCTCCTGCATTGTGGGTGGATTCTTTACCTACTGAGCCACCACAGCTTACATTCAGGTAATCAGAAGAAGGTGTTGTCTCTAAGAAGCCACGAAATAGCACAACTTGAGAACCTCAAGTTAACAAAGCAGAAGACTCTCCACAGAAACTCCCAGAATAAATTACATTGTTCTTTGACCTGAAAACATTCACTCACCCAAACATTTGGGGCAGCACTGTCCTGGGGGAATGTGGCTAAGATGCTGAGGACAGGAGAGAATGGGACAGACTTCTCTCACGCACTGTGTCCTGCCTCCCTGAAGAAAAGAGAAGGAGAAAAAAGCACATTTAGAAAAGTACGTGCATATATATAGTGTCTAACCAAACTATCTGGAACAAACCTAGGCCTTTCCTGAGGTTGGTCCCGGGGTGATTGTTCAGACCTGGGCAACTGCCCCTAGGTATCCTGCGCTCTTCCCCGTGGATGCCATGAATCGTACCCATGAGAAGACTGCCTCTAAAGCGATGGGTACACCATCACCTCTCCCCACTCACTGCCACTACCACCTTTATCTTTTTTTTCTTCTTGAAGTGAAAGTGAAAGTCACTCAGTCATGTCAGACTCCTTGCAACCCCGTGGACTGTAGCCCACCAGGCTCCTCTGTCCATGACATTCTCCAGGCAAGAATAAGGGTGGGTTGCCATTCCTCCTCCAGGGGATCTTCCCAAACCAGAGACTGAATCCTGGTCTCCTGCATTACAAGCAGAGTCTTTACCATCTGAGCCACCTGACCATTTTGGCTCTTAAGACCAACCAACCCTCTCGATTTGGCTGAGATTTGAGGCTTTCAGTACTATAACCAGGAAACGTCTCTGCAAACCCAGACAGGTTGGCCTCTCTTTCCAAGCCCAAGGCAACAAAGCAACTTTGGGGGTTCTACTGAGATGTGTCTTCCTCTTTTAGGCCCCCATCTTTCTAGTCCTGCAGTAAAGCTTCCTCCAGGAAGACTTCCCTTTTGGTCACTCCTTAATGGTGTTGCTGGAATGACTCAGCAAGGCTCAGATTTGGGGAAGTTAGTCAATCTGCTGAAAATGGATACACTGGAAGCCAACATTCAGAAGAACCATTTCACTGAAGTCACTCAGCTAATCTAATCTGTTTCTATGAATCAAATAGAAGATTTATGATGACTGATATTAAAAAGACTTCAGCAGCCTCGGAAAATCTTCTAGAGTCTTCAGATCTTTCATTGTCTCTCATTCTTGACCCTTTCTGTCCTCCAGCATCCATCACCTCTGGCATCCGTTCCTTCTCTTCCTCAGTATCCCCTGCTTCCCTGTCCATTAGTATCTCTTGCCCCTCCGGGATGTGAAGATGAGCATAGCAACTTCCTTTCTCCATTCCTTAGCGGGGATACCTATTTTTCCAGCCTCAGCAACTTGTAACTGAATTCCATAAAGCCAAGACAAAAAAAAAAAAATTGGGCTTTCCAGTCAATTTACATTCAACAGCTTTGCAAGGCTCAAGTGAAAACTATCTGGTGCAATATGAATTACTATCAAATTTGAGAATAATTCCGTTTTTTTTTTCTTCACCAAAGAAAAAAAAAATCAGTAAATTTAGTAGATCAATCACTAGGCAAATGACATTTCAATGAATTGGCTTCTCTAGAATTTGAGCTGGAAACCAAACTAGTAGACCCTCAAAAGTACCCGTTGCCTCAAGCCTGGAATTTTTATCTTGAGAGGCCTCAGGAAATAAGCAACTCACGCCTCAAAGAGCCCTGGGCCTCGCAAGGGAAAGATTCCCTCATAGCGTTTCCTCACACCTTCTCCAGCACTCTCTGTATTAACACCAGACATTAGCCGTCTGGATCCTATTCATTCCCATCCGAGCACACTACTATCGCCTGTTGTTTCTGCTTTCCCTTCCTATTCCTGCCATTTTCATTATGCAAGTTTTACTTTTTGGTAGGGACAGATGAAAAGGGTAGAGCATGTTATGTCTTTTTAAATATTTATTATTTTTAAGCCACTTTAAGGTTGGCTTCTTCCCCAAACCAATAGAAAACACACAAAAATACCACAAAAAGTCCTTCTGTTGTTTTTACATTATTTCCAGATCAGCATGAATCACTAAAACTCTCCCAGGAATCCCTAGCTGTTCTCAGTGAGTTTCCTCACTCAACTGCATAATCCTGGACTCTGGCTCATCACCAGACTTCAGAGGTGCATAACCTGAGTCTTGGTCACACTCTGAGGTCTGCCCCAGCTTATACATAAACCACAAAAGTCAAATCTAGAGGGAGGCAGAAGTCTATCCTTAGCTTTTAACTTCCTCAATTCTCGAAGCCTTGGGCCACACGAGGTTGCCTGGATGTCGGCTTCTCTTAGGGTGCACAGAGAATGTATTCTTTTCATCAATATTCTCTGTTCTTGTTGGATCAGCATCTATTTTTCAAGCATATTTTAAAATGAAAATTTAAGAAAAATATTGCATAGTTGCATGGCCGTTAACTTGTCCAACACACTGGAAAGCTGGCCAGAGACTGTGTACACTCCAGTAATTTTCCTTACAATAAGGTCAAAGAGTGAATTTTGCATACATAATACAACTGCAGTTTGTGTCTCCCTAGAGTCTGTTAAAGTAACTTGAACTCTAATTTAAGTTTGCTGCTTTGGTCAGGTTTTATTTTGTTTGAGTTGCAGAATTGTGGTATAGCCCAAGTCCCGAGGCTGCATTCCAATTAATACCTCCAAAGAAAGTTCCAGGCCCTTTCAGCTCACAACCTGCTTCTATGATTTCAACTCAGCAGGGACTCTGGCTAAACTATAAGCCAGGGCTTTGCTGTAAACCAAGAAAGTTAAAAAAGCAGAAGCAAACATTTCTGGTTCTAAAAGTGCACTAATTCCTACTGTAATTGCACTAAATCAACTCTATCAGATTATCACCCTCGCTTTCTAATTAACTTACCTGCCTCAGCTTTCTTTCCATGAGTCCATCCTGCAAGGTTCAATATCTCCAAGACTCCTATCCAGCATCCACAACTGTTTCATTATTTGAGCTAAGATTTATTCAAGGTTTACAATATGTTGGGATTACCAGCAGTGAATATAAAATACCAAAAAAATTATTCTTTATAGAGCATGTCCATATGTTAAGGTGGAGGATGACTTAACCATAACATTCAGGAGAAAGTTCAACCCACTCAAGCTAAAAGTCCATGTAGAAATGACTAGGTGCCCACTCGAATCTTTTTTTCCTCCTGACACAGAGCCAAGCTGTATTTCCCAGGCTCCCTTACTGTTAGGGGTGGCCAGTGGGAGGTAGACGGAAATCTCTCACACTAAAGCAGGCTGAATGCTGAAGAACTGATGCTTTTAAACTGAGGTGTTGGAGAAGATTCTTGAGAGTCCCTTGGATTGCAAGGAGATCAAGCCAGTCAATCCTGAAGGAAATCAATCCCAAATATTCATTAGAAAGACTGATGCTGAAACTGAAGCTCCAATACTTTGGCTACCTAATGGAAAGAGCTGACTCATTGGAAAAGACCCTGATGCTGGGAAAGATTGAAAGCAGGAGAAGGGGATGACAGAGGATGAGACGATTGGATGGCATCACTGACTCAATGGACATGAGTTTGAGCAAACTCCAGAAGACAGTGAAGGGCAGGGAGGCCTGGTGTGCTGCAGTTCGTGGGGTCACAGAGTTGGATACAGCTGAGTGACTGAACAACAAGGTGCCATTTTCTCAAGAATTTTGCAATAATGTGGAAGAGCCTCTTCCCTGAGTCACCAATGGAAGTCTACCCACTAAACACCTGCAAGGAACTGCTAAATGAGCAAGAAATAAATTTTATCATGTTAACACTTGAATGCATCAGTTCTTTATTACCCCAGTGAGGCAACTTTGTCAAGATACCCCATAATCTTTTCTCCAATCTCCTTTCCTTCCAACACCAACACAGAGAGGGGATTCCAGTTTATCTTATTTCTTTCCTGTTCCCAAACATATCTTATGCCTTCTCTCTTCTTTATATATGCATCTTTCCCTTTCTGTCCCCATCACTGACCCCTATGGAAATCCTGCTTCACTCAAGGTCTATTTCATGCCTCTTCTCTTCTGTAAAGTGTTCTAGACCCTTTCAATTCCCAACAACCTCCTCTATAATCCCGTATCTTTTCTTTTCTCATCTACACTCTTGATATTTTTGACACACACATGAACATTTAACCCTGACAGACAACACTGGTTTTACCTCTAAGCTAGACTATGGTATGGGCAAGAGCCAGTCCTTTCAGCCTAATATCTTTCTTCAGACTCAAGGAAACATCTCAGTAAAAATCCACTGAATGAAAGGAAGAGCCACCACATATAATGAGCTCCAGAATCCAGGTAAATTTTTCAGAGCACTTCAACTGCAAGATGCTGATGAGACGGCAGAGTTCAGGGCTGTCTGCATCCCTTACCTTTGTATCTCCTTGGGTTTTGCATAATTTGTGTACCAACTAAATGTTTGTTAGTGCCAATACTTCAAAAAACATCCCTCAACTTCAATTTTTAAAGATGGTATGAGTCCTAGTATCCATGTATTTTGTCTAACGTTTGAAAATGTCTAAACGGTCAAAATGCATAGGGACTAATGACTGTATTCCCATTTGATTAACAAGAAAAGCTAGAAACGTCCATGATACTGGAGAGTTACAATTTCTACCATTTGCCCATTCCTTAAAAAGGCAAACTTGTCCTTTAGAGGTGACACTTTGTTCCTATTGCCTATGCAAGTGCTTCTCCAAAAGTAGTCATTCTAAAAAGAAAGACATGGAACTTATCCCAGGTTGATTTTCTTAATTTTCTTTTAGTTGATTTAGTCAAGAACACAATTAATTTGTGTCAAAGCTTAACCTAAAGCAGCAGTTCTGTTCCATAATTTTTTTAAAAAAAAGTATCTTCCTGAATGTAGTGATGAGTGCAAGATGATAAAACCATAGCCACGTGCATGCGGGATGCTTCTTCGATCCCTGAGGTCTGCTGGGAATTGAGGGCTGGAAACTGTTCTGTAGCACGTGACATGGCACTCATTCCTCGACCAGGAAACAGATCGTGGCCACCTAACAGGAGGTGGGAAGCACAGCAGTGCATTTCTAACCAGTTAAGACCAGTCAGCTACACATTCAAGAGTGATTTTTTTGTTTGTTTTGAGAGCAATGTTTTTTTAAACAATATTCAACTCTGAACAAAATAGACTTCTCCATTGATTCTAGATGGAGGTGAGAACAGGTGAGAATGAGGGAAGAGGAAAAACTGGAGGAACTA